AAAACAAATTAATATTCTTTACAGACAGAAGAAATCCAAAGTTCATGCCAGAAACCAGAAACTCGCAGATGGTGAGAATTAAGTACATTGTTCAAAAGCAATAAAAAACACATTGATTTTTTTTACTTGAGTTTAAATAAAAAAAATTAAGTTCCCTGACCGGGAATCGAACCCGGGCCGCGGCGGTGAGAGCGCCGAATCCTAACCACTAGACCACCAGGGAGCGCTGGGTGATAACGCAGACATGTTAGGTTTTGACACCAGCTCGTCAAAATGAAAAGTAAATCTCGACTCGATCTTCACAGGCGTTTTCAGGGCATTATTATTGTATGAGGTTTCATTAAGTCATGTGATTACTACAGATTCAGGTTTGAATCGTGTCAGATTACGAGCTTTGGAATTAAAACTAGCAACGATGCCAATTACAGCTATTAACACTTGTGTTTTGTTCAAATTGACAACCCTTTCACTATATTAGTACACTGTAAAACCCAACAGTCAACTTTATCAAATGAAATGAGTGTACTTAACTCAAAATTTACTGAAAGTTAATTCTACTCGTTTGAAAATAGTTTTAAACTCAGTGTTGAAGGTAATGAGTTAACTCAAATGGTTTATTGCAATCGGTTTCCTCAAATGGTTTGAGTTGCCTTAACTTATTGGGTTTACAGTACTCATTGGTTTGAGTTCTCTTCATTTATAGAGTGTCACATGTGCTCAAATGGCTTCATTTACTAAAAATGGATTAAGCTTACAGTACTTATTACGATTAGTTTTTGAACCTAAATATTTTGTTGCAATCGGTTTCCTCAACCGATTTGAGTTACCTTAACTTTTTGGGTTTAATGTAGCTATTTGCGCCATATTCACTTCCATTATAACAACATTTTTGATTGCAAAGCCATGACCAGCATATAATCATGCATGCTTGATTATTGGTGGTTTTCCCTGTTGGGAAGAGGTACAAAATGTAATACAATTTATTTGCTTGTTGGCACCATTAACCCTTTAGATAAGCCTGTGCAAAACCGATGAAGAGGTGGCTTCGTCTTTAAGGCGGCACATGAGATTAGGCCAGATATCAAATGTAGTATTTGGCCCAGATTTTAAAAATTTCTATGTGGGCCACGTAAGTTTGGCCAAACTTGACCCACTTTTAAAATACATTTAAATGATTTTTGTGTAAAGAAAAAATTCTACCAGTCGGGTCGCTTCAAGAAAAATCGTGGCCATAAAGCGAAATGCTTCATGGGTTTATCAAATTCATGACCAACATATCTGGCCCAGTTATCAGTTTACTTGGCTAAGACTGGCAAAAGCTAATTGTGTGGGCCTGATCTGGGCCAGAGAAATTACGTGGAAATGCTCTCTTAAAAAATTGCTTTTAGGATGGAATTGGTAAGATCATTCCTAAAGCATGGAATAGTAAATGAAAAGATTCGAGAAAGATTCAAGTTTTTTTTTTCTCTCTCCATGGTTGCATCATAAGACTTCCAGGATACAAAGGGGGACTAAACATGTGGAGGCTGGAGGGTGCAGATCAGATCCCATGGCTTTCTGCCTTCATTGAGGACCAGCTATGCTGTAAAGTTTTAGTCATTTGTAGATGCTTGATTGCACACGATGGAAGTCCAGCCAGAAGTGTGTTGCACTGTGGAGCTGAAAGAATTGCAGAGTCATCCTACCTTTGAGATTGCTTTGTAAATCTGTCCCATCATTCGAGAGACAGAGACGTGTCGCAATCTGTGCCGCGTCACTGTAAGATCGTAAACCATGATAGAAGACTGATATTTGCAATAAGAGCGATAGCTGCATCTGCTGTGAGAAGAGTGTATAGAAATTGGCCATAAATGCTGCCGTCAGATATTGATGCGAACTCACTGACCCAGAACTCTCAGCCAATTGTGCAATACTGTTAAAATGATCATCCCATATGATCTAATGGTCAGACTGACTCAAATAACAACCAGTGCTGATGAGAAACTCACACATATCAGATAAGAAGATTGTAGTATCTCTGTTTTATTGTTGTTGGGACCATTAGGAGCTCTTTTAAAGGCTGTAAACCACTGCTGCGTAATACTGATCTGAAACCTGAAGCCAAACTTCTAACAAGAAGACAAATGCAAAAGAAGCGTCCTTCAGCTTGTAACTGTATTTAAGGCTGTGCCATGGATGATAGCTTTACGTGAATTCTTGCACAGTGTGAAGCAGCCATCGTAGTCCATGACCTGACCTTTGGACAGAAGAGTTAGGGCAGATTAACAGTCAATATAAAGAAGAGGTCAAAGAGTAACTCTTCACGTATTGATCACATTTTCTAGAAGTACAAAGCAGGATCTATTTGCCAGTATCCTGCTGAAAAACAGTAGAAACACTTATTGAATAATGGTTATAACGAAAGTTGTAGTGGTTTTACATGGAAACTGTTAAGAGTCCCTGTGGATTTTTCTGGTAATTCATTGCCTTCACTGGTGGCATGTTCATAACCACCAAATTGTAACAGAATGTGTCCCAAAACACAATGGAAACATTAAAATGTAGTGGTTTTAACCCTTGTGCACTGTTCAAATGGACTACATTTTGTTATGTTAGGGATGAAAATGAATTAAACTGCTGTAAAATGCATCAGATAATTTTTTTTTCAAATTTATTTTAATTTTTATTATTATTATTATTTTTGCAGAAATCTGTCAATCAACCTCAGTCCTATAAAAAAACTACTAAATGTTTTTTAAAATTACAGGATTTTAAGTCTTTAATTGCCAAGTTCACAAATGATGTCACTGATTTGGTGAAAAAAAAAACTCAAAAGAATGATGTATTTTCAATATAAAAAGTAGTTGTGGACTAAAACCTGTTATCACAGTCTTAGGCATGTGAAAGACAAGTAACAACATTGGCTTTGATGCATTCTTTTTCATATTTTCTCTCTAATTTAATGTTTGTGGCTGCTTTTACCCCATTGACTTCCATTATAACCACATTTGATGATGCAATAGACAGTCTTTGTTTTTGTTTACTCCATGTAGTTCTGAGAGCTGAGATGCATATTTTGATTTTCTCACACACATCAAGATGGGAGCACAAAGGTCACTCTCACAGATACACACACACTTTAATTCCCTGTTATACTGCATATAAAATCCACAAACTAAGCTTTTTTAAAAGGGTTAATGGTGCCAACTGATGATCAACAATAAAAACTACAAGTGTTTCCTCTTCTCTACTGGGGAAGAGGTAACCCAAACCCTACTGAGAAAACCACCAACCATCAAAAATGCATGATTATATGGTGTCATGGTTTTGTGACTAAAAAAATGTGGTTATATTGGACGTTGTTTCACATGTCCAAGACAGAGATTAAATGTTAAAAAATCCAGTCCACAAACACTTTTTATATAAAAAAAAATCATTCATTTTGTGTGCGTTTTTTTCACCAAATCAGAGATTTAATATGTAACAATTTGGCAATTAAAGAGATAAAATCCTGTAATTTTCTAAGCACGTTAGTAGTTTTGATCAGGACTGAGGTTGAACAAATGTATGCAAAATAATATTTATCTGATGCATTTTTACAGCAGTTTAATTCAGTGGATGTTTTCAACCCTAACACAACAAAAGGGGAGTAAATTTGCCGAGTGTATCGTTTTTTTTTTTCTCAAAAAATGAGCCAAAATAAGATCTGTCTCCAAAAATCATTCTGCTAGCTGAAACACAGAAAAAGTTATGGCCAAATTAAGACTCAAAATCAGAGTGGATGAAAACATCCCCAACAGCGTGTAAGGGTTAATATTTAAATGATTATAACATACACAGAAATCCATTAAAACTTCTCTCATTATTTTTTTTCTTTCTTTTTTTTGCAGGATACTTATTTGAAACACTGTTTTCGGTAATATGCAAACATTTTCAGATGCTTTATGAGCAACATTTTCAAGACGGAAAATGTCCATTTTCAGTATTTTGCCCAGCAAAAAAAGTTTGCTGATATATATTTTTTTTGTGAAACACAAAGTAGATGTATCACAAAAGCATCTCAAAAGAATGACAAAAGTAGTCCATGTGATGATACACATTACTGTATGCAAAGCCATCCAACATTATCTGTATATACAGTGGGGGAAATAGGTATTCAACACGTCACCATTTTTCTCAGAAAACTTTCTCTGAAAAATTTCACCAGATGTTGGTAACAAACAAAAAAATCAATATATGCAAAGAAACAATATTAGTTAGTTTACAAATAATGTTACGTGTATTAAAATGAAATGACACAGTGAAAAAGTATTGAACACATGAAGAAAGGAAGATGTAGAAAGGCAGTGAAAACCCAGACAGCAGCTGAAATCTCTCAGTAGTTCTTCAGCAACCCTTTGTCCTTCATCAGTGTAAATAGATATTAGCTGCATCAGTTCAAAATCTACATTAGCAGGATGATGAAGAAGAAACCAGGGTGGACGTTTCAGCAGGACAATGGCCATCACTAAAATAGCCTTTTATATAAAGTATTGAATACATTTCACTAGTTCAGCACTTTCTCCTTGTGTGATTCCATTGGTATTACACGTAACAATAGTAAAAAAAAAAGAGTTTTATTTTATTTATTTTTATTTATTTATTTTTTATTTTTATTTATTTTTTTACCAAAATCTGGTTCAATTCAATGTCAAAAGCTCCTTTAGAATACTTTTCCCAGAAAAAAACAGCATGTTGAATATCTTTCCCACACTGTACTGTATATCAGTTTGGAATGACATAAGAGTAGAACACATATCATTCACATACCATGTTATCGCAAACTATGATTTTAGTTTAAATCCACATATATTTCTGATTTAAATTAAAAAGCTGTATCGCGGAGTCACTAAAACAGTTCTAAAACCCAACGCATTCAGCTCAAAGTGTTCTTTTAGCATTGTGTAGGACTTTAAAAAACATGAAATTAGCCTTTAAATGAAAATCCTGTGCCAGGTTACTGTCCCTGTTGGATTTGGGTCCTATCCCAGCAAGACCCTCTGGAGCCTGTCTGCGGGGACGCTGTTCTCCTCTTCTGATTCAGCGTCGCTCTGTGGGTTTGAGCTGCAGGGAGAGGAACACTGCGGGGAGCACAGGTAATGCATAAGCGGCAGGCGGTACTTCCCGCAGAAATCCACAAACTTGATGTGTCTCACACATGAGTCGAAGTAAACACCTGGAGGGCATGAAGAGGAATTGAGAATTAATCAGAGTAACAACATCAGTCGACAGAATTTGGGACAAAATACTGATCTGTTTGATTAAAAACGATACAAAACTGGGAGTGAATGGGGCCCATTTATAAAATATAAAAATTTGAATGATAAAAAGTCAAGACAACAAATATATTTACTGTATGTTACTTTAACCTATTTAAGTGATTTTTTTACAGTGTAAACATTAAATACTGAATAGAACTCTATAACTATCAATATGCATTATACAATTGTTTTAGCATGAAAATATGGCTTACAGAGCCTCTTAGCAAACATTTAAAATCTGTAGAATTTTTTACATTCAAGCAAAGTTGGTCATGTATTTTCTATTTTTATGAGAGAGCTTACTGCAAAACGCACTAAAACTACTATAAAAATAATTTAAACAGCTTTACAGCTAAAATAATGTTGCTAACGTCTTTGGGTTCTAAAACCATTCCCCTAACGCTCATTAAGTTATATAATATTATTTATTTATGTTCTTTTGAATGTTTAAAATGCCCAGTTTTTTAGTCAATGTATCAACGGTATTTTTTGTTTGTTTCTTTATAATAGCATTATTCAAAATATTTTAATAACATATTAGTTATGTTATATTATGTTTACAACTTTATTTGAATATTCTATTCACATTTTTAATCAACATTATTAGATTCATCAATAACATATTTTCCTGAGAAAAGTTTAATGCAAAACACACTAAAACTGTCAATTATAAAATGTCCAGATTTTTAGTCCATGTATTAACGGTATTTTTTTGATTATAATAGCATTATTCAAAATGTTCTAATAACATATCAGTCACATGATATAATGTTTGAACTTTGTTAGAAAATTGTATTCGCAATACTGTATAACAATGTTCTAAGAATGTTTTCTATCAACATTATTAGAAGATTCATCAATAACAATCTATTTACTAAATATTTTCCAAAGAAAAGTTTAATGCAAAACACACTAAAACTACTATAAAAAGTACAGCTTTACAGCTAAAATAACCCTGCTGACAACTTTAGGTTCTAAAACTCTTCCCTTAATGTTCTCATTAAATTATATAATGTTACTTTTTGTAATGTTCCTTAAATGTTTAAAATGATTAGTTTTTTAGTCGATGTATTAATGGTATTTTTTTTGGTTATAATAGCAATATTCAAAATGCTTTAATAACATTTCAGTCAGGTTATATTTTTATTGATTCATTTTCTTTTCGACTTATTCCCTTTATTAGTCCGGGGTTGCCACAGCGGAATGAGCCGCCAACTTATCCAGTACATGTTTTACGCAGCGGATGTCCTTCCAGCTGCAACCCATCTGTGGGAAACATCCATACACACTCATTCACACTCATACACTACAGACAATTTAGCCTATCCAATTCACCTGTACCACATGTCTTTGGACTGTAGGGGAAACCGGAGCATCCGGAGGAAACCCACGCAAATGCAGGGAGAACATGCAAACTCCACACAGAAATGCCAACTGACCTAGCCGAGGCTCGAACCAGCTACCTTCTTGCTGTGAGGCGACAGCACTACCTACTGCGCCACCGCATCCCCCTTCACGTTATATTTTGTTTAACTTTATTTAAAAATTCCAATCACATTATATAATGTTCTAAGAATGTTTTTCTATCAACTTTATTAGAACATTCATCAATAACAACTAACATCCTAAAGATGTTCCAAGAAAAGTTTAACGCAAAACACACTGAAACAACTATAAAAATGACAGCTTTACAGCTAAAATAACCCTGCTAACAATTTTAGGATCTAAAAAACATTCTCATGAAGTTATACAATGGTATTTTTTGAATGTTCTTTGAATGTTTACAATGTCCAGTTTTTTAGTCGACGTTTTAATACTATTTTTATGGTTATAATAGCATTATTCAAAATGATTTAATAACATTTCAGTCATGTTATATTATGTTTAAATCTTTAATAGAACATTCCAAAGAACATTTTCTTATCAACATTTTCAGAACATTCATCAATAACAACTAACATTCTAAAGATGTTTAAAGAACGTTGTCCTAAGAACATTTTCTTTCTGGAACATTAAAAGAATGTTTGAGGACCATTATTTTAATAACGATACATGCTAACATTTGCTGAATGTCCTGTGAGCGTTCCCTGCTAACTGGGAATACACATTTTAACAATAATTTCAGTATGTGCACATTTCAGCTTAAACCCCTCATATATTAGCCCACTCAGGCACAAAAAATACTTTTATTGGTTTTACACATCAGTCTGGTGGTCTCTTAGCAAAATATTTTAATAAAGCTTATTAATGCTTGATTTAGTGGTTCATAATTCTTGCCAAATTTGAATTGAGTTGGAGTATCTAAAAGTTTTTTAAAGGTCAAAGACACCTACCTGCACATTTTGGGTTGGGACATTCGCTAGCCAGGTTTAAATAATAGATCAGATTGGCCGGCAGATCACACGAGCGGAACGGAAGGTTTTGGGACTTGACGGTGCGCCCTGCGAGCTCCATCAGAGACGGAGGGTCATAGGTCATGTCCTTGATGAAGCGCACCACCAGAGGGTTTCCACGCAGACTGAGCTCCTGCAAATGAACGAGGCTGAGGATCTCACGAGGCAGGAAGGTCAGCAGGTTATTGTGGAGACTGAGAGAGAGCAGGGAGTGTAGTCTACAAAGAAAAGAAATCTGATGTCGTTTATTTTTAATCACCACCCTGCTTTGACTTTAGAAAGAAGGAAGAGGAGATCTTACTTGTTGAGCTGGGGTGGTACGCTTTGGATGCGATTGTCACACAGGACCAGGTATCTCAGACAGGTGAGTTTAGCCACCTCAGGTGGGATCGAGGAGATGAGGTTCCCTCCCAAATACAGCATCTCTAGACTGCACATAACAGAGGACAGAATATCAAGAGTCATGAAAGGAAAATCCAAGTCCTGTTTTTTTTTTTTTTTTTTTTTTTTGCACTCTTAAAGTCAACATGAAAAGGAAGATTGTCATTTTGTCCACTATCGTGATGTAGATCCATTTGAAATGGTCCTGAAAAGAGAAAATAAATGTAGGGTGGTGCATGACTGCCGTCTTTGGGAGTTAATTAGATTGTTAAAAGATGGGTGTTGCTAACAACTTGAAGGAAGATTGACGGATGGAAAAATTCAGAGCAGAAACCCAGCAGACACCCACTAATAACTCCGCCCTAAAGTAATTCCATGTGACCAGGAAGTAAAGAAAGTCCTTTCGAGGGGGAGGCAAAGGTTATGGAATATGATTAAAGTTTATATGGATAAATGTGCACAGACACATCGTTTATAACAAGAACTACTATATACATGTGGGAGAACATTTTGATTTAATCGCGACTTTAAAATAATTATATATAGAATTTGCAAACTCTTGTAAATAGCAAGACCATATATATATATATATATATATATATATATATATATATATATATATATATATATATATATATATATATATATATATATATTTTTTTTTTTTTTTATATATATAGTACTTTTTTAAAAAATTAAAAAATAAATAAATAATATAAAGGAATAACGATTAATATCCCTGAAAGTTTTCCATTGTACAAATGATTCTTTATAGATTGAAAGAAGTTCTTTAGATTGTTCTAGTGTTTAGAATAAAATCCCTTGTGAATGTTGTGCTGGTGACTTTGGGAACCTAAAATGTTTCCTTTATGAAATTACTAAAAAATGTGTATTATTTATCATCTACTCTTACAAAACAGCAACTTTTAGCAGATATACTTATTTTAAAATGCACCTTTTGGGCCAAAATACTGTTGGCATTTGCATATTTGCAACTTTGTTAAAATATTTAGGCGATGTAGATTATGTAAGAATTAGTTTGGGAAAAGTTAAATCGGATGATCATACAATGAGGACAAAAAAACAATTACAAAAAAAAAATCACCAACTGGGGAAGTTCAAAGTTCACCTAAATACAGAACAGCAGAGGGGAAAAAGCAATGCAACGATGAATCAGGAAAATCTACTTTTAGCTTTCTAGGTTTGAATGAAACCAGAGATCATTAACCTAAAGTAAACATCGTGTTATGTAAAGTCGAATTGTTTGTCTAAGAGTATTTAACCGTTTTCCCATTCTACAGGTTAGATTTTTTTCCCAAAAAACACCCACCAATCAATTTTAAGAATGAGACGGTGTCGATTTTAAAAACTTATTTAGATACACAAAGGATCCTCGAAATAAGCTACAATTATAATTCCCATTCTATAATAAATAATAATATATTATCAGGAGTTAGAAATGAGTTAATAGTTAGAAATAATAGGTGAATGTTTTAAACCGTCAAAACAATCTGTGAAAATACCAATTTAGTGAAAAATTATGCAGCATCCCATCCCAAGTAAAAGATAACAGTATATTTAGTGTTGGGTGAACAATCCCTTTAAACCACAAAATACTACTAACAATAATATAATAAATAAAATACAGGTCCAACAATAGCAATTGATATGCTATATAGCAAAGGATTTATTAACTCTTGATTATATTGTATATTATAGTAACTTTAGCAGTAAGCCCAGCTAACAATTTTGTTTAATTGATGTCTATTAGACATCTAAATGTAGACAGCTTGGCTAAAACAAGCCTGAAAATCTAAAAAACATCTAAGAATAGCCCAAAAATTGACTAGTCATCAAATAAACAGAAATAAATGACTACACATATTAAGTCTGTCTAATCTATCTATTTGATGACTAGTCTAGTTTTGGGCTATTCTTAGATGTTTTTTAGATTTTCAGGCTTGTTTTAGCCAAGCTGTCTACATTTAGATGTCTATTAGACATCAATTAAACAAAATTGTTAGCTGGGCTTACTGCTAAAGTTACTATAATATACAATATAATCAAGAGTTAATAAATCCTTTGCTATATAGCATATCAATTGCTATTGTTGGACCTGTATTTTATTTATTATATTATTGTTAGTAGTATTTTGTGGTTTAAAGGGATTGTTCACCCAACACTAAATATACTGTTATCTTTTACTTCACCATTCACTTGTTCCAAACCTGTTTGAGGTTCTTCCTTCTGTTGAACACAAAAGATAATATTTTGAATTGAGGTAAAGTTGGTTTTATATTCACACAATGGTTCAGGGACAACTTGTGACACACTCCCTATTGTTTACCATAGCTACTTTTGGTCTGACATCGCTAGTAAATATGACTTTAAAACAACATTATCATGATTTAATTGCCTGTGAACAATGTAGTACTAATGTGATGTCACTATTTAGAAAGAATAGCCTACTTGTCTGAAATTACATTATTAACGAGAAAATCCAAATACAAAACTCATATTAGCCCAAGATAGCTCCCAGCTAGCATTTTTTTTTAAAGATGTCTAATAGACGTCTAAACATAAACGTCTTGGCTAAACCAAGACTAATTTGAGTTGTCAGTGAACACCTGATAAACATCTAATAAAGGGCATCCGCTGCGTAAAAACGTGATAAGTTGGTGGTTCATTCTGCTGTGGCAATTCCAGATCAATAAAGGGACTAAGCCAAAAAGAAAATGAATGAATGACTACACATATAAAATCTGTCTAATCTGTCTTTTTGACGACTATCTTAGACGTCTATTATATTTTCACTGAAAGCCCAAATTTAGCCTTGTTTTAGCCAAGCTGTCTAGATGTCTATTAGACGTCTATTAAACACTAAACTGTTTGCTGGGCTGGCAACCCATGTTTTTCCTTCATCAAATGTCAATGGTTATAAGCTTTAAGTAAAATATCTTCCTGTGTTCTGCAAAATAAAGAAACTCATAAGATTTGGAACCACTCGAGTAAACAGTGAGGTAAATTATCATTTCTGGGTGAACTATCCCTTCAAAACAGATGTTCATTGCAAGTCGTTTCCCACCAAATTTATTAGAATACCATTCAGATAATCTGGCCTGCTCAGCTACTTACTTTGTACTCTAAAAACAAACTCATACCTGGTCAGGTTCTGTATTTCTTCAGGAATAGCCTTTAGCCTATTTCCTCCAAGGGACAGGGACTGTAGTGTAGTCATTTTGAGAAACTGCGCGGGAATATCCTCAAACCTGTTTCCACTCAGATTCAGAGTCTCCACACGAATGCAGTCGAAGTCCTTCGGAAACGAGCACTCGTTCAAAAGATTATTCTTTGCAACAAACGTCTTTAAGTTCTTCAATCGCATAATGTCATCTGGTATGACCGTGAGCGCGTTATTGCTGATATCCAGATACTCCAGGTTGGACAGAAAGCAGACAGAAGTCGGGAGAAGCGTCAGGCGGTTGTAGGTAAGGTGAAGCTGCTGGATCTGTTTTCTTTTGCTGTCCGCCAGATGATCCAAGTTCAGGTCGTCCAGATGCAGACGGGATAAATGTAAAACTGCACACTTGTCGTCTACGCTTGGGAAACGAGCCATATGGACTGTTTAGTAAGAGGAAAATAACACTGGGAATTAAATAAAGCTAGGCAGCACACTTTCTAATGGTGCGACAATGTAAAAGAAAGTTATCTACAAGTTATTGATGTGTAATCTGTACACATATATTACATTATAACGTTAGAAAATGCCCTTTAGTGCTGCTGCCTGAAGTGCGCGCGCCTGATTTAGGATTTTTATTTGTACTAGAGTGCGTGTGTATGTGTGTGTCACGCCTCCTGCACTCTATGGTTGGTCATCCAGGAGCCAAACATGATGCAATTTTGCCTCGTCTCGTAACTGTCTTATGCAACAGTACGCATTTAGTAAAAAAAAAAAAAAGAAAAGCTGTTGATATTCAGCAGGTCTTGTTTTATGTAAGATTAATGGTATTAAATGCACAAAGTATAAATGTAGTGTCCACTATGAATGGTAATGCATTTATGGTACAGTTGTATTTTTATTGGCATGATCATTTATCAGGCTCTTTTACAAATACAGTTTTTGCAATTATAAAGCCTAAAATGTAATTTTATGTAACAGCACCCCAAAAAACTGTAGCCTAAAGAAATATTAAAATGGGCTTTTCTTTTTTAGAAAGAAACTGATGTCATTTTAAATGCAATAATGTAAAGTAAGCAATAATGACATTGATTACATAATGACAGTATATACAGGCCATCAGACATGTTCATTTGACTATATACCTTTTTATTGCTTTATAGTTTTATCGATTGCCTGCAAATTAAGTAAATTCATAAGCAATTATAAGGCAGGTTAGAGATGATTGATGAATAGTTTTAGTATTTCTTTGCTTAATACAGTAAAAAAAACCTTGCTTAAACCGGCCCTAACCTGAGTAGCTAGTTTCAACTGGCCTCCCTGCCTGACCAGCAGTAAAATAGAGCAAAGAGACACACACCAACACAAGATTATTTTTGGTGTTTATTTTATTTTCTAAAATGTTTTCCAAAAAATGGTGCAAAAAAAGTAATGCCTTAAGCACAGATAAGATGAATTTATGCGGAATTGTCCAAAATCCAAACCCAAAATACATTAATTATTTGAAAAAGAAGGCTTAGTTTTGCTTAAAATATAAATATTTCACTATACAAAAACCCTTTATTTATGCAAATATAATTTAAAATGTTCTATTTACTGTAAAGTGAAATATGAGCACCATTGCTTTTAATGAAAAGATTCAAATTACCCTGAATGTACAAAAATAGGGTATTTCAAATTGTGCAATTCATACAGACTTATATTACCCCCGAACAAATGAAACTGTATTACAACCCGTTTTTGAAAACCTCAGTAAAGAATTTAATAAACTCTGAAGAAAATCCCTATCTTTTCCCATTCAAACACAGCCCAAGTAAAAGTGATACCGGACGTCTCTTGATTTCTCTTCAGACTTCTTTATCACCCATTTTCATCTTCTCCACAGTTTCCTTAGGAGACAAAAAAGAATTCAAAAGTCATACATTTGATGACCCACATGAACAAAACAGACAGTGGTATCAAGAAGGAAATGTTTGTCACAATATGTTAAGAAAAATGCACATTCACTCACACTTAATCTCTCAGTAGTGCTCTTAAAATTCCCTCTATTATTTTGGGGGAAAGTAAGGGTAAAACCTAATACTAGAAAACCTGCAGAGCTCAAATTCAGATATAATAATATGCGCTAGGTAATAATATGTGCTCCGATTGGTCGATCAATCATTTAATTTATAAAACGTTGCGTAAAAACCTTGATTATGGCATATATGAGGATTTAAAATAGTTAAATTAAGTCAATATTTAAGTTAAATATGTAAACTTAGTGGGCGATGCAGTGGCACAGTAGGTAGTGCTGTCGCCTAACAGCAAGAAAGTCGCTGGTTCAATCCTCTGCATCCTTGATTTTTTTTTAAAATCCTTGATTTTTTTTTGTAGATTACAACTAATTTTGATGATGATTTAGGATAGCGATTTGCATGGGGAAGTGGCATACTTGGTAAAAACGTATCAGTAAATTGTAATTTTTCTGTATTATTAGTGCCCCCCCCCTTTATATATGCTTTTAAAATGCATTATGGGGTCTTGATCTTCCAACAACCTTTGACCTTAAAAAGTTTGATAAAGTGACTTTTAATAAGTAGTTTAATAATTTGAAGTGATACATTGTCTGGACTGGTGTTGTATGTTAGGCCTACGATATAACAACTTTGTAATAAACTGCCAGAACATTTTACAGACTTACTTCTCTATATACATTATATTATTTTAAACTATTAAAATATTAGTAAAAGTCACTTTATTTAAACCGTAGAGTTGAATTTTTGATATCAGAAGTCGACAGTGCAGAGATCAACATCACATATTGCAATTCACAACCATAAATAAATGGAAAAACACCTGTGAATCACAAAATACAAAAACTGTAAACTAATCGATAGATTTTAGTGTACGCAGATTTCTACCGCCATTTTGTCTACACCACATTTATAAATGATAGCCCAAATATTCGAATGAACTGTTACAAGCACTATGAGAAAAAAACACCTACAATGTAAATTATATATTAATTATAACATCTACAATGAAAATTTATACCAACCTGATGCTTATTGAGTTCAGCCACTCTTTGAACCCACTCCTCTTCTGTCATTTCTTGATTATTTCCCTCCATTTCCTCAAGAGCTTGTAACTTATTTGAACCTGTCGAGATGAAGAGCACAGCTATTCAGAGCACATTCCATTGAAAAAAAAAGCTTTTATGTCCAAATCCCTGCTTTAGCCTCGATCTGCAGAAAAAAAAACTTTAATATTTGGGGCTCACCATCACAAATCACAGCAGTGCAGACCCAGTTGCCGCAGGCACAAATGCAGCGGTTACATTCCATCTGAGTCTCAGCACCATCCTCATACGTCTCATCTTCTAAGGCACACTCTAAAAACATACACATTTATCTTACAGGATAAATAAGTATTGAGCACGTCACCATTTATCTCAGAAAACATATTTCTTTGCTGTTGACCTGAAATTTTCAACGGATGTTGGTAACAACCAAAGAAAACAATATATGCAAAGAAAACAAATCTAATTAGTTTACAAATGAAGTTATGTGTAATAAAATAAAATGACGCAGGCAAAAAGTATTGAACACATGAACAAAGGGAGGTGTAGAAAGGCAGTGAAAGCCCAGACAGTAGCTGACATCTCTCGGTAGTTATTCAGCCACCCTCTTCCCTTCTTCATTGTGAATTAATATTGGCTGCTTTAGTCCAACATCTACATTATCAGTATGATAAAGAAGAAACCAGGGTGGACATTTCAAGAAAACACAGTCAAGAAAACTCATAAATGGTTTCAGAAAAGGAAAATCAAGCTGTGGAATGGCCCAGCCAATCACCTGACTTGAATCCAATAGAAAATACAAATTAAAGATCAGATTTGATAGACAAAATCCACAGAACCATCAAGAATTTACACTCTGTTGAAGTTTGTGAAAAACTCACACTAAAGCAATTCATTTGACTTCATTCTCCACATTGACAGAAAAGGTTTCTCATTATATATAAAGAATATATGAAAAGACCCTTTGATAAATCTCTGGATTTATATACAGTAGTCAACATTTGAAGTGAATCAAAAATACTTTTGCAAATTTTTCTAGTACAAAACAGGTGTTGTTCAATAGTTTTAGGACAACTTTGATGAAAGGTGATGATCCACTTTAAATGTTACCTACTGTAGGTATGGGTCTGATGTAAAATGTTAGTTTTGGTTTTTCTTTATACAAGTCTAAAGACTTACTAGACTTGCATTGACTTGTTAGACTGTTTACATTTTCCAAATTTAAATAAAAATAATGTAATTATACCTTTTTTCCATAACTCTTCTAAATGATATTTTTTTTTATTTTAAAATAGAAAGAAATGTCATCAGGGGTTTACAGAATAAAACAAAAAAAATGTGTTTTAGTCTGAAACCTTAAATCATAACTCCATGCAAAGTATCCGATAACTTTAAATGAGTCAAAATTATTTGCTAAAAAACAAATCTATCTATCTATCTATCCATCCATCCATCCATCCATCGATCCAAGAAAAACAAGTATAGATCACTTGATAAACCTTTATAGGTATGGGTTTGATGTAAAATGTTATTACTGGTTTTAGTTACATTTTTAGTCTGATGACTTTGAAATTTTACAATTGAAAATACAATAAACGTATATTTTTCAGAAAATAAAAACTGGTCAGATCTTCCAGTGTTTGCGTGGGTTTCCTCCTAGTGCTCTGGTTTCCCCCACAAGACCAAAGACATGTGGTACAGGTAAATTGGGCGAGCTAAATTGTCCGTAGTGTGTGTGTGTGAATGAGTGTGTATGGGTGTTTCCCAGTGAAGGGTTATGGGATATGCTGAGATACATTGGCGGTTCATTCCGCTGTGGCGACCCCAGATTACAGTTTTTCTCCATTGGTTTGGCTCATTTTTTTAAACAGAAATTACATTCTCAAAATTCTAAGATCATAAAGTGTTACAGTTTAGCACAACACTAAAGCTCACTTACAAGAGCTCATACCTTTGCCTAAACAGTTCACTCATGTGTCAAAGCTAAATTTCCTTCTCATTTAAACTGTCAGTGCCCCTAAAATGCTTTGTCCCTTTAGCATTGTGTAAGCACTGCAAGTCCAAATGTTTATTTGTTTTGTCATTATGGCACAGGACCACTAAAATATCCATCATGTCCACCTTACAGTCTTAGCCCAGTCCTTCATTCACAATGGTTACTGTACTTTTTTGTCAAGCTAACAGAATACAATTGTGTATAAAACTGAAAAAAAAAAATACGATTTTAGGGTAAGAGTAGCCTCCAAGGTTTGAAGTCACACATTGCACTTATACTGCCAAGGAAATGGTAACTCCTTTTTATTGTAATGATCAACCACACACGCAAAGATACTTCAATATCAGAGCAAAAAGAATAAATAGCCGTAATAAATTGTAATCAAATGTTCCAGGATTCACCTACAATATGGTATTCATGGTATTATGGTCTTGACTCATTTTGACAATTGATCAGTCTATTGTGCATCTATTCCCAGAGATGGGTTGCGGCTGGAAGGGCTGGAAAAACTTGCTGGATAAGTTGGCGGTTCATTCCCCTGTGGCGACCCCGGATTAATAAAGGGACTAAGCCGACAAGAAAATGAATGAATGAATGAATGAATGAATTGTGCATCTAATGACATATAAAATGAAATGACGCGGACACATTTTGGAGAGAACAACCATTAGACTGAGAATTACCGATCAGTTTAGATCAACAAGATCTATTCACCTGGAAATTGTGCTAAATGTAGACTTTCTGTACTTAATCATTTGCATAGATGTACTTAGACATTTGCAATTTGATGAAATTAATGAAAATATCAATTCTATCAACACCAATGGAGAAAAACTGTAATAAAGAAACTAAGCCGAAAGTAAAATGAATGAATGAAAATTGGTCAGAATAACAAATATTTCCCTTGTTGTAAACATTGATTTCTTAACTCTTCAAAGTCAAAATTTTCTCATCTCAGAAAATGAATAAACTGTAACATCTCAGATGTCACTTTTTTTTTTTGCAAAGAAATGCTCTAAATGACAACATTTGTTATTTTAAAATTGGAAAAACTCATCAGTGTCTTACAGATTAAAACAAAACAATAAGTTTTACTCCAACACATAACCTTAAATCAGAACTCCATATAGAGAATCAGAACTTTCAGTGGCTCAAAATTATTTGCTAAAAAACGAATTTATTCAAGAACAAAACACTGCAGTGTTGCTTCGAGACCCACAAATGTTCTGCTGTGGATTTGATTAGAATTACTTTCACTGACAAAACATAAAAAACACAATTTCGCATCTAAACAAAACTCTCTCAATACGAACCTGCTTATACTGTTGTACAAAATCAATATCACTTTAAGGATTGCGTTTATATGGTGAATACACTGATATTTAGGAAAATCACTCTTGATTGTGTGAAATTACTTCACTATACAATTTTTTCTTTCATAACTCGAACCGCAGGGTCATTTTCTAACTGCGTTTCAAAAGTCTTCATCGCACAGTGAATGCTTTATTGTGTTTTTGTTTATTTCCATCAAGGTGAGTGATATTCAACGTTATCCTGCATTAAAATAGCAATTAAGATAATATCCTGCCAATAAATAGTGCCCAGTGTAAGTGAAGTGAAGTACTGTAGATCTTACTTCTCTCTGGAGGGTTGAATCCAGGCCTGAGACAGTTGAGAAACTCGTCAAAGCTTAGTTTCCAGTCTGCGTTTTCATCAGAGAGCTCAATGAGCGCATCCACACACAGACTCCTGCAGAACACAAGATCACCACTGTTTTTAATAGGGTACTGTTACATCCAAAGCAGCATTATTGTTTATAAAAGCCATATAAAAGCCATACAATCACATTACAATTGTTTTCACGCACATGAACATCCACAAACTGTAAGATGTGGCTTGTGGTTAATTACAGAAAGTAGACTATACTAATTAGAAAGGTAAACGGGCTCTGAAATATTTTACAGAAACAGTTGAACGAAAAATAAACTTTTCGATTTACTCACATTTAAGTGGTTCTAATCTTTTATAAATGTTGTTCTTCTGTTGAATGCAAAACAAGTTTTTCTCAATAATGTTTGATAAAAGCAGCTATTGACGTCCATAAAAGAAACAAAAAATACTATGGAAGTCAATAGTCAGTGTATAATCAGGCTATCAGTGTACAATTTCCCTTTTCAAACAAAAATAAGGAAAATGAAGAAAATGTCCGTTTTACATTTGCTCACAAGAAACGAAAAAGTGAGATTTTGCCTTAATTTTCCTTTTTTTAATTTAGGGTAAGAAAATGGATAAACGACTTCAAAATTCATTATACACATGTAGGCAGTGCTGGAACGCCAACTTTCCTTTGATTGGTCAACCAAATATAAGCTTGTGACGTAGCCCTCATAATATTTATTGAAAGTATTTACAAAAAAAAAAAAGACATTTACAAATTGTACAAAACAATTAATTGTTTTCTGTGCCAATTAAATCCAAATTCAATTTCAATTCCAAACCATTATATTTTCTATGAAATAATCCCAGTTGGTTCCAAACATTTTCTTTTTCAGTTTCTTTTTCTCTTGAACCTAAAAGAAGACACATTGAAGAAAGGTAGAATCTGGTAACCATTGACTTACAGTTGAGGTCAGAATTATTAGCCCCTTTGAATTTTTTTCTTCTTTTTAAAATATTTTCTAAATGATGTTTAACAGAGCAAGGAAATTTTCACAGTATGTTTGATAATATTTTTTCTTCTGGAAAAAGTATAATTTGCTTTATTTCGACTAGAATTAAAGCAGATTTTAATAAATTTTAATAGATTTTTTTAACAACATTTTAGGGACAAAATTATTAGCCCCTTTAAGCTAGATTTTATTTGATAGTCCACTGAACAAACCATCGTTATACAATAACTTGCCTAATTACCCTAACCTGCCTATTTAACCTAATTAACCTAGTTAAGCCTTTAAATGTCACTTTAAGCTGTATAGAAGCGTCTTGAAAAATATCTAGTCAAATATTATTTACTGTCATCATGACAAAGATAAAATAAATCAGTTATTAGAAATGAGTCATTAAAACTGTTATGTTTAGAAATGTGTTGAAAAACTCTTCTACGGAGTAAACAGAAATTAGGGAAAAAACAAACAGATAATTCAGGGGGGCTAATAAATCTCACTTCAACTGTAAATATTTGGTAAAATAAATACACTGTTATAAGCGATTAGTTTTTTTACTTAAAAAAAAAGTCAGTAAACCCATTGACCTTTTATAATTATTTACATAGTTTGTTTACTTAATAATTATAAGGCAACGAGTTTACTCTCTTTTTTTAATAAAGTCAGTTAATCTCTTTTTACGGTGTACTATGTAAGTCAATGGTTACCCGTTTCCAGCCTTCTTCACAATATCTTCTTTTGTGATTGGATTCCAATGGGCTGTGTAATAGTGTGTCAAATACAAAAGCATTTCTACATTTGTACAGTGCAATCTGCAAATTGTATAACATGCAGTACAGTATATGCACCGCTGGCTTTGTTTCTAGATATCAGTATCAGCATTGACCTTCTGAGAACCCCTATCACCCCATCGCCCACTGGAATAATTACAGCAGTCAATCTTTTGGATTCAGATTTACCAAATAAAGGATTTTGTGAACCCATATCACCCCACCACCCACTGCAGTCAATGTTTTAGATTCAGATTCCCTCAATGATGGATTTTGTAAACGTTCATTTTAGCTAAAAAAATACATGATGAATGCATAAAGTTATACAATTAGCTATATATGACGCCAAAATCTTTGTGCCGAGTAAACTGCAAGCATATGGAAAGGACATCAAGGTCATAATCATTATGATTTATAGACTATACTCTTGCCTGGAGATATATGCCACTTTGGAAGGTTTTCAAAATCTTAAGAAAGATTATCAGAAGCGGCTGTAAAGAAGTGCTGATAATAGTATTGACACAGATAGATGAAGATAAAGACAGCAATCAGGTTAATAAACCTCACAAACCGCAAACTGTCTTCAAACTGTGCCTATCTGATCTGTGCAGGTCAAATGATAAAAGCGAATGATTGTGTGTCACGCTGAAATGGAGATGAACCAGCGAAGGCAAGAGGACATTATGAAGAGAATGTCGATGTGACATTTATTGCTAGCATCATTTGTTATTTTATAAAATGGTTAAATGGACTATAGATGTGCAAATTGATGACAAACCAAAATGCAACTCACTCATTTTGGTTATAACTTTGTTATCATTTTATGTGATTAATCAGATTAATTCAGAGTGAGGCCCAATGTTAGTATTGTAGACTTCTGTTCAAAATTCTGTGGTCTGAAATGTGAAATCAGTAGTTATATTTATATATACACCTCAAATAAATACTGTTGTAACAGTTGTTTTTTGAAATGCACCGGATTTCAACATTGATAATAATAAGAAATAACTCTTGTGCATCAGTCATGTGATTTCTAAAAGATCATGTGACCCTAATGACAGTAATACTTGCTGAAAATTCATCTTTACATCACAGGAATGAATGTATTAATATTATTAAAAGAATAAATATATTTAAAAGGTTACTTTGATACTTTGAATGCTGTTTCTTTTTTATTATTATTGTTGTTATAATTAAATTTATTGTAGTTTTTCATTTTAATGCACAGAGAGTGCAATCACAGGAGTGATTAGTAGCAAAAATTAAAAGAAAAAGAAAATGCCAACAAAAAGAAAGAAAAACACCATACAAAATACCAAAAAACACATAAAAGCAAATAAATAATATTCATATTAAATAAATAAACACCTTCAGTTAAATTTACTTTTGCAGAGAACCACAGCATCAAGTGCAAAAAGGGGGTTTAAGCCAACATTTTACAACTATAACATTAAAAAAAGGATTGAAAATAAAAGGTGACACACAGATAAAAGTATTTTTTACCTCCCTAGTGCATTATTTAAAGAAAATAATCAGTGATATTACAAGTGAATTAGTGTCATTAGCTATGACAATAACTTGTTTGAGCAAGAAATTGAATATATTATATAATATATATTAGAATTTATTATAACGTATATTATAATGAATAATATTTAATTATTAGTAGAGCTTGCATCCTTGTCCTTCGCAGGTAAATATACAAATGTTTCTACAAAACACCAAAACACATTTTTTGAGCTGTTGACAGTCATATATGTGTCCCACGCTGCTATAAACACTATTAGGACACATATATTTCACAAAAAAAGTAAAAATTTATTGTTTTTGCGTTATTTCGAGCAAATCCGTTCTTCCGATTTGAAACAAATATTTGAAGCTGCGTCACGTTGATACTTGCGTGTATTTTAGCGTGTAGACTGGATGTCTGTACATGCGAGTGCATCGTGACATCTTAGAGTGTGCTGCATTCATTCATGAGTAAGACTTGGTTCAAACCAATCAGCACGCTCTATTGTGTATGCGGTGCAACTTTATTAATATACATAATAGCTTTGAAGACTGTTTGTACCTGAAACAGTGTTCAGACTGCAGCGAGACGACAAGTTGTGTTGCCAAAACAGGTGGGAAAAGATGAAGAATTGTTTGGAGATATGGGTGGTCAGTGTTGCTTTTATAATTTGCTGCAGTGAAGGTTTTCATTTTCCAGCTATAAGAGCGCAACTGAACTCACGTGTGGATTACAGTGCACGCGTCACAAGGCAGAAATACGTTTGTACAGAACAATTTTTACTCGAGAGCTTTTCACATCTGGAAATGGTGAAATCCGGATTTGCTGCTCGTCTCCTTTTAAAAAAGACGCAGCTCCAGTTGGTGTTGATTGTCTTGTCTCTACAGATTTGGTAAGTGTATGCGATCAATGTCCTTTCTTTGTTCATTCAGATGGCAAAGTTAAAGTTCGTTTTGTCAGCAGTACTCTTTCAGTGTTTAAAGACAGACCTTAGTCAAAATGATTTCTAAGTTACTTAGTTTACATTAATATCACTACAATGTTATGGGCTGAAAGTTCTACTGTAAATGCTGCTCTCCAAGTGCAAACATGTGAACACTGCAATTAAACTATTACCCACCGTCGAGTTGAATTTTCGTTAATTTCGACTGGATAGAGTATTTTTCTCTTATACGACATGCGGTATCGTATAATTTTTCTCTTATACGACATGCGGTGTCATTAAACACAATCACTGTCTTTCTCCCCTGCGTGTGTGTTTGTTTTGTCTCTGGGAAAATCAGAGCGTGCCCAAATGGAAACTCACATTATTATTCAAATCCTTCCCCTTTTTCCTCCCCCAACACTCCCACCTAAACAGAGCTAGACACACCCACTTTCCTGGCTTTTTCCAAACTAGAGGTGTGAAAACACCCTGCTGAAACAGGGGGGTTTTGTGGCCCTTAAATGGTAATGCGGGAGTTCATGCAACTTTGTGAGAAAAGCTATGCAAAAAATGAGAAAAACTCTTCGAGCACTTAGCATTGCAGTGTGAACCTAGCCTTTGTTATGAATATGGATATATGTTTTACCTGAGCAAGCGGTTGTTCTCGTCCTCGGCATAAGGAGAGGTGATATTTACTGCGGTCTCATTATGCTGAATGAACTTCAATAATTCTGCTGAATCCAGCTGAGCATCTCCGTTATCATAGCTCTGTTGAAAGAATTAACAGAATACCGAATAGTGATAAACAAACATGCGTTGTGTTCAGAGGATTAATATGTTGAGACAAAAAAATAAATAAATCTGAAACCTGGAAGTACTTCAGCAGGACATCTGAGAAGTTGGATCCTTTTGAAAACCATCCATCAGGCTCTACTTCCGACTGTAACCATTCAATCACACGACTCCTCAACTCGTTACGGTCAGCGAGATAGCAAACGACTAAATAATCAATCAAATAAGCACATCTTACAAACTGGAAACTAACAAAAAACAAATGTCCTGTTTTGCAGCATTTATTCCAGCATTTACGGTGCCATAAATGCTACTGTAGTAGTTTTAAATGTTCCAAATTTAATGAGTAGCTTTATTATTATAGACTATTTGTGTTTACAATTGCATCAGATGCTGAAAATGGTCATTATTTTGAGGGAAATTACATTTTAATACATTTTTGAGGGGTTTGGCTAATCACAACATGACTGTCCAATTGGAGCACACCAGTCATTTGGGAAGAAGGGGCTTTATAGTTTATTCCTATAATAATAATAATAATCGTAATATTAATAATAAGGGTGGTACAATGGTTCAGTGGTTAACACTGTCATCTCACAGCAAGAAGGTCTCTGGTTTGAGCCCTGGCTAGGCCAGTTGGCATTTCTGTGTGGAATTTGCATGTTCTCCTCATGTTCATGTGGGTCCCATCTGGGTGCTCCGGTGTCCCCCACAAGTCCAAAGACATGCGCTATACGTGAATTGAATAAGCTAAATTGGCCGTAGTGTATGAGTGTGTGAATGCCAGTGTGTATGGATGTTTCCCAGTGCTGGGTTGCAGCTGGAATAATCATGAGATTATTCTATCTTCAATCACCATCTATACAAGGTCTTATTTAATACATTTAATTCTGTCCAATCAAGACTACAAAAAGTAAATAAATTTGAATATTGGCTATAAAAAAACATAATTTCACATTTTCAATAAAATGTTCAAGAACTGCATGAACTGGAAGTTGCTGAGACTTTTTTAGTATGTTGAAGTCCTTAACTGAAATGGAATATTGAGTAAGGGGCGGGGCTTTCTTTTGTAAATCATTCCCTCATAGCAAACTAATTGTACGAGGGGCGTGTTTAAGAATATTGACATGCAGCTGCAACTGAAGCACTGAAGTTGACGTCAACAGAAGAATCGCCTCTATAAATGCGGAAGCAAATGGTGAGTTTTTGATTGAAGATTACCTAAACAAACTTTTTTCAGTGGATTATTATGCCCTGATTATTTATTCACCTTAAGAATACCAATGTGAGTTAAATAATAAACATAATAAATTTTCATTTATGCCAACTTTAATGTTATTCAGTTCCTAATCGAACAGATGCATTTATACTCACTTGGGCTGTTGATGATCTTTTCCATTTTTTTCTCTAAATGAGGAGACAAAACCAGGTCAGTGGGGTTTTTCTTGAAATTAATTGCATAATTATGCGATCAAATCTGTTTCTAAAGAAAAATGGTTGTATTTTTTTTTCCATTTTCAGATGGGATTTCATTTCAACAACTTAAAATTGTAACATCTATGATCTATACTAGTCATACAAATTGCAAATTTTTATTTTAGCATTCCATCAATATTAATGTGTGATACTATTTTTATTTAGCCATTATAGGCATCTAATAAACCATAAGAACACACACATAAAGTATAGTATACACACAAACACACACAGACTTACCTTCACATTGTCCGTCATGGGAGATTTGTATTTTGACTCCTGTCAGACAAGCATCACGATGCAGCTCACAGTGATTTTGGTACATTTTCCCATTACTGCCACAGACTGGATGATTATGGGGTTTACATTGCTGATTAAAACATACAAATACATGCACATTAATAGAAGCGTAAGTGTGCATGATACTCAATTCAACTCATTTCAATTCATTTTTATTTATATAGAGCTGCTACAATGTGACTATGGAATTTATATCAGTGGTCATCATGACTCAAATGGGTCATTTGTCTGTTATGGTAGCAAGTAAAGAACAAAATAATGCTAAAAAGCACATAATAACATTAATAACTGGTATGTAATGAAAGAAATAGGAATTAAAATGTTTAGATACTTTTTAATATGCTATATGTTGTTGGTGTGAAAGGAACTGAGACTAATAATATAGTTTTTATACCACCATGGTTAAATGTAAGGCATAGTTTAGTTATGTAAAACACCCAGTCTTATTAAAGCATTTCAGAGAACAGAAGGGTGAATGCGGGTAATTACCATCACTGTGGAAACAGGGTTGCCAAGTCCATCTTTTTATGGTAATAGAACTTATTTTTACAAACTACAGATAAATCATAACATAGGGCTGCACAATATGTCATTTGAGCACTAATATTGCAATGTGTGTATCCGCAATAGTCAGAGGATCAGATTATTTTATAAAGATCAAAAAAATAAAAACATCATGAAATATTATTATTTTTCACTGATGACCATGTTATTTTACATTTGACTGTTTAATTTCTGTACATGAATACTGTTAGACTTCCATTAGAAACCATAAAGCGCTCTAAATGCTCTTTTGTATTTACACACGCTAGTAATTTATTATAATTTAAGCAAACTGCATAGAAAAGATTTGATCATCCCAATCTATCTAAATGAATGAAACCTTTCCCAATTGCTAGGGGTGTTGTTCAATTGTTCCCTCCTCCTCTTGCCATTTTTATTTGCTGTCTGAGGTTCTTCTAAAATCTAGGTGTTCTGATTGGCTCGCAGAGTTTAATAATTTAAGCGGTCCAGAGATGACTCGGTCCAGACTGGGGTGGATCCTTGTCTTTTGTCACTGCTCTGTCTTTCTGTGTGACGTGTGTGTACCTGTCCTGTTAGTTTGCTTTAGTTTGAGCTTTACATCTATTCAGAACGTCCAAGCTAAATCTCCTTAAATCTACTAAAAGGGAAGTGAAAATGATATATGTCACGTTTTGATTTTTATTACACGTACAGTAGTTGATTCTCTCTTACTTTATTAGGTCAGAAGCCGGTGCTATCCTTTGTATGTTTTTTCCAGTAAATGCAGTTTAGTGAGGAGCGTGTGACGCCAAAGATGTTTTCATTTTATTTTAAGATTCTCTTTATTTAGGAGGGTGGGATTAGTTAGCAGTGTTTAATTTGGTTTTTACTTTGATTTGGCATCGCTTTGTTTTCCTTCCCTCTATCAGGTTTGCTTCAATTGATTTGTTTGCTTTTTGCATTTATTGTGCACATTCGTAACTATGCTTTTGGTGATTAAATATTCTTGTTTTAATCTTTTTGTTGTAAAAAAAAATAGCGAATCACTTTTTGCCACGTCCGTTGTCTGTGTCGATACACAGCAGCTAACATCTCTGGAATTTTAAAAATATTGGGTTGTTATATTTATGTTTAGCCCTTTTCATCCTCTGAGCCACACAGGGCATAACATAATTTGGGGGCTCGTCCGGGATCCTTCCTTGGCAGGGCGACACGGGGCGTAACATTATATTCATATCACTATATAATGCAGAAAAAAGATTATCGCAATATCAGATTTTTTTAGTAGCGCGCCGCCCTATAACAAACTAATACTTACCTAAAACCTTATTTCCTACACACTACTATTTATTCACTGGATATATGTTCTTATTTATTAGATATCAATGCTTATTCAAAATGTTACTTGTAAGATATTTGTGTTTTCATCCTAACATTTTTTTTAATTGAACTCTACGGTGGCTATTTTGACTAATCACAAAATGAGTTTAAATTGTACAGAAATAATAATTGTTACTACTAATTAATAAAGATAATAGCATCTAATAAATAAAACTATAGTATAATAAAGAAGTACTAATATCTAGGTAAGAAAACCAAACAAATTAACTTGTATGTATGAAATACGACGTAGCGTATTTGAGTATGTTTAATGTAATGGTTGAGTATGGAATATCTATCTATAATATGTACAAATATCTAACAAAACATGTGCACTAGTATATATTTAATTGGTATTACCGCAAGTATACTCGTGCCAAATAAATAAGAACTACACTGTAAAAAAATAAGATGAATCAAACTAACCTTATGAGTCCACTGAACTTATATTATGGTAAACTGACTTTTAAAATAGCTGGCATAACTTATTAAACTAAGTTAATCAAGTTCTAACTTTATTTTATAAGTAACAATGACCTAAAACATATGCTGTCAGGACTAATTGATCATGTCATTTTTTAGTGTAGTATCAAATGAAAGTTGTGTTTAAAAGGTATGCCAAACTGTAAAGATCTGGCAACCCCTATTGGGAACGCAGCATGTGTTTAATTCACAACACATGTGGTTTAGGGTATTTTCTGGGTCACTGTGAACGTGTGGCTAAAGTAAACAAATAGACATGACTCACCTCGATACACAGACAAGTTGGTTCGCCTTTCTCTGTGACCGAACATTCTCTCCCAGCTCCACAGAACACATTAGCACAAACTTTACTTTTGCTCCTCACCCCCTGCACAAAACAAAACAATACATTTGAATATTTACTGAAAGAAACCAGATCCTTAGTTTTTTAAGCATGACGTTTGGAACTTTGGCTCCATATTGCGGTGAAGGATGGTAAACATAAGTACTATCAAACTGAAGTATAAGCTTTAGTACTTTCTAAGTACTCTTTTAGGACCCTTTTTGAGTTTGATAGAAGCTAATAGTTGATTTAGTCAGAATACTTAACTCAAACCGTTAAAAAATCCTGTTTTTATTGGTAATGTTGACAAACATGCAGATTTTAGTTGAACCACAAGATGGCGGACTTTACTTCAGATATCTTACTTGAAAAGATTGACGTCTAATAATTGACAAAAAAGTTTTTTTTATTTAATGAAGAATGGAATACAAAAAGTCTTGCGAAATGACTTTGCTATTGTCCTCCTAAATCATTGCTTCTCAAAGACTGGAGGATGTAGGGGCAGAGAAGTAATTTGGGGGCCCTAAGTAGCCTACTTCCAGCAATGGCCCAAAAGTTTTAAATTGCACCTTTTGTACTTTAATTTGTTTTTAATTTATCTTGCTGTTTTACTCTGTATATTTTTCTACATTTTATCTTTTATTGCAAAATAATAACACGTAAAGCATCTAGTAAAACTTTTGAAATTATTTATTTTCTTTAAATGAATTAACACAATATTAAAATATTATGTCAATTCAATTAATGAATTAACATGAATAATAAATGAAATTTTTCATTTTTTTTAACTGGTTTGACTGCTGGACTTATACATGATTGAGGGTGGGGTATACATTTGCGGAGATGTAATAACTACATTGAGATTGAAAATGTTTGGACCCTCACCGTACAAAATACAATAGAAAACAACAATTATGGAATTTATAGGTATAGGTATTTATTTGGGGGCCTTCAGATTTTCTGGGCCCCTAAGCAGCTGTTTATCGTACATATTGGTTTAATCCGCCTAGGGATGTCAGTTTAAAAAATAAGTTAAAGACATTTCTTTTTTTAAGTTTTCAAAGATTATTAGACAGAGAGGTATACGTTCATTCCTTGTACATTCAACTTTCCTGTGACTCCCAAGGAAATTTCTATTGTTTTTTTCTGCAATTAATTCTAGTTATTGTTTCCTTTTTTAGAGATGTAGCTTAATTCATATGTCCATAATCAGTCTAGCTGATACTGCAGTAAAATTTGTTTTTCACAGACTAACCAATCAATTCACTCTCTTTTTAAAACCAAGCAGTTTCCGAGCGTCTATTACCTATTGGAAAATTTTGTAAGAATTCCAAAATAGGAAACTATGCAGTCATTACTTCACAATCCTCATCCTTAAATACCTAATTTATGTTACATATAAGATCAAAGAAATATCTTTTAAACTGATTCATAAACTCTATCTGGTTAAGCATTTTGTAAGTAAATTTAAAAAGGATATTGATATAAATTGCCCTTTTGCATTTAGAAACTGTACCCAACATCTTTTGGCACTGTGGTTATGTTAAAAAGCTTTGGTAAGATGCTTCTGCTTTTATCAAAAAATGTATTTTTAATTTTAATTAGCATTTTAAAAATGTACTTTTTGGATATTTTAATTATGAAAATCTGAACAATGAAATTTTTTGTTATTAATCTATTTGTTTTGTTGATTAAGCAGTTTTACTTTGTTTTATAAGGAACTGAAAAATTACTTTTGTTCTATTCAACATAGTGATGATAAAAAAGGCCATTAAAACGGTCCATTTGTGCTCTATTTTTAAAAATTTTGGTAAATGTAAACGTCCTGCTTGTTTGTAATTGTAAGAATTTTATTTAAACATTTATACTCTTGTTTTTTTAGGTCTGTTTTGTTTCTTTGGTTTTTGTACTGTTTTTAGTGTTTACCTTCTATCATCCTGGCATTATATCGTTTGTTCTATTGCAGGCATGTCCAAACTCGGGCCCCAGAGAGCCAGTGTCCTTCAAATTTTAGTTCCAACCCCAATCAGACACACCTGGGCTAGCTAATCAAGCTCTTACTAGGCTTTCTAGAAACATCCTTGTAGGTGTGTTGAGGCAAGTTGGAGCTAAAATCTGCAGGACATCGTCCCTTCAGGAACGAGTTTGGACACCCCTGTTCTATTGTCATGTATCTGTTGTTTAAAAAAATAAATAAATATATATGCAATCATTTTGCACTAATCCAGCACAAAACTCTTCTGCTTAATTTGTATAGAGATAGTTGGAATTGTGCAGTTAAAAATGCCAAATACCTCTATGAAAGAAAGGTTGAGGCGGCTGGAATAAATGAAAATTAGACCACTCTGTATTTTGCACCATGCTCCTTTTGACCTTCTGTACTTCTGGTTGTGCTTTGTTTATAAGAAATTGCTGCCACTTGTATTTTTAAAGGGGCAGGAAATTATATCTGTGTTTATCAAAGTAAACTTTGAAATCAGAATAAATAAAAACCCCCTTTATATTTTTTTTCTTTTTAAAATATTTCCCAAATTATGTTTAACAGAGCAAGGAAATTTTCACAGTATTTCTGATAATATTTTTTCTTCTGGAGAAAGTCTAATTTGCTTTAATTCAGCTAGAATAAAAGCAGTTTTTAATTTTTTAAAAACCAGTTTAAGGTCAATATTATTAGCCTCTTTAAGCTATATATTTTTTCAATTGTCTACAGAACAAACCATCGTTATACAATAACTTGCCTAATTACCCTAACCTGCCTACCTAATTAACCTAGTAAAGCCTTTAAATGTCACTTTTAGGCTGTATAGAAAAATATCTAGTCAAATATTATTTACTGTCATCATGGCAAAAATAAAATAAATCAGTTATTAGAAATGAGTTGATAAAACTATTATGTTTCGAAATGAGATGAAAAAAAATCTTCACTCCATTAAACAGAAATTGGGGGAAAATAAACAGCGGGCGAATAATTGAGGGGGTTTAATAATCCTGATTTCAACTGTATGTAAAATTAAAGTTGGTTCTAAACTGTTTTTCTGGACATTGTTGAAAATTCCGACTTTGAGAACCTCTGACCTAAACAAACAGGACTCGTTCACTCTCTCTCAGACATGTGCTGGCCTTTTATTGTGCTGTGTGACTGCTGCAGACTGAAGTGAAAGCCACACTGAAACGGCTCCAGATGCCAGACCTGTTGACCTTTGCCATTTCATGAAGAGAGTGAGTAACAAAGAGTCTGACCACAACAATTCTCCAGCGCATGCTGTCATTCACTGAAAACACACACACACATATAAAAACACCACACGCCTGCGAGACAGATGGCACACACTCCCACACATATACACAAATAACCATCTGCAACATCAGAGGAATGATAGACAGAGCAAAATCATGCTATTCAAAACTGTTTTATATTCACTGAGGTTTTTAAAAGTAATTATAAATTCAATAAATTGTTAATTACAAAGTTATTATAAATGAATACTGGATAATTAATACTTTTTTATATACTTAAATTAACATAGTTTTTATTTCAGTCAGGAAATATTTATCATGTAGTTTAATATGATGTAAAATAACTAAATAAAAAACTAAAGCACTTTTTTTTTTTTAAAATGACAAAAAAGGACACTTACTAACAAGCTAATTAATATGAAAACAAAACAAAAAGTGGTACAGAAAGCTATAAAAAAAATTTTTATATAAAAATATTAAAATATTTTTTTAAAATAATATTTACATTTAATTTATTCTTGCTTTGCATTACAGATTGCATGACACACATTACATACTTGGGAGAAGTCTAACATATACAATATTATCTTTTAACATAGCAAAAAGAAGTGTGCACCAAAGCGGATAGAGAAGATTCTGTAATAGTTCCACATAAAGCCCAGGGACATCTGTCCATCTCTCCAATCCCAGAGAACCTTTAACACTGACCTTTAACCTCTCACTGGGAAGATTGTGGGACACAATAGAAAGGTTTCCCAAGGAAGTAAGGGAAGTGAATTCTGTTCCAAGGCATCATGCAAGGTGGAAAAGCCTATTTGAGGTAACACGCTTCTCTTTTTACATGAGTGTGCGCGTGCGATGAATATTTCACATAAAATGTGTATAGTTTGCCAATAACATGAGCTCACTTGGGCAGTGAGTCACTGTTTTCCAGTCTTAATGTGTGAGCATGTGTTAACCGTTGCCAGAGAAAACATCTAGTGGATCTGTTACCAGACCCAAAATGTTTTCAAATGCTTTCTCAGTTTTTGGTTGTGAAATTGGGCATGGTTATTAAATATTTCACCCAAATAAACTTAATTACATGTTACATTACATTACTATAGTGGGACATTTAAGACATCAAAGAAAATTTTTAGAATGCAGTTATCTTGGCGATTCATGAAACACAACACAACAGCTATCAACTCTTTGTGGGAGTTAAAAAACAAACAGGCAACAGAAAATTAATACTCATAGATTTGACGATACATAGGGGTTATTGAAGTAAAACAATTAGCCTGGGCAACAAACCCATTGCAATAATAAAGGGTCTGCAAATGGTTCACAGGGGATAAAACAAAACAAAAAAAAGATTATTTGAACTTTCATCAAAAAAATTTTTGCAGCTCATGCCACCACAGATCTACAAGTTACTAAGTGAAAACTTACTTTCAGACATGCCAAACATTCACTTCTTCTTGAAGTGAGCCAATATACTGTATGATCTCATGTTTGCCAGCTCATTAAGCAATTCAGCTAGCTTGCAGAAAATAAAACATATTTGCTCATTCGGTTGAGGCTTTTGAATAAATGTTGGAAATAAAGTACAGTTTCTTGTACAGACCAATCACTTCGATTCATAATGCCTCAGTTTTGCATCTTCGCATTTGCTACTGAATGGCTAATATGAATAGCATCAATCGGTTTCTTCAAACGGTTTGAGTTGCCTTTACTTATTGGGTTTTACAGTACTCAGTTGGTTTGAGTTCTCTTCATTTATTGGGTTTTACTGTGCTCAAATTGCTTTGTTTACTCAAATGGATTTA